GTAGACAGGCAGCAAGGAGGGGAGGGGGGACAGGAGATGGTGCTGGGGGGGGAGCTTAAAAGCCAGTTCCTCTCAGCACCGTCTCTGCGGTGCCACCCCACCCCCTCCACTGCCTCTATCAGTGGGGATATACCGGAGGCTGCTCCAGTGGGGAGCTGGGTCCCCCCGTGGACAGGGGCTGCCGCCGCCAAGCAGCCTCTGTCCGTGGCAGCCAGGGAGACGGGCGGACATTGGCCAATGGGACTGACCAGGAAGGAGTCCTGCGGAAAGGGATCTAGGGGCTATGATGGCCCACACGCTGAATATGAGTCGACACTGTTGCAAAAGAAGCAAACATGGTTCTGGGAGGTATTAACGGGAGTGCTGTGAGCAAGACCCGAGAAGTGACTCTTCCGCTCTGCTCTGAGCAGGTTGGGCCTCAGCTGGAGGATTGCGTCCAGTTCTGGGCACCGCATTTCGAGAAAGATGTGGAGAAACTGGAGAAAGTCCAGAGAAGAGCAACAAGAATGGTTAAAAGGCCTAGAATACAGGAGCTAGGAGGGAAGACAGAAAGAACTGGGCTTGCTTAGTTTAGAAAAGAGCAGACTGAGGGGGACCGCTGCTGCCATTCGCAGACACAAACACACATAAGGTGCCCCACCATGTTCTTAAAGGACAGCTTCCATTAGCCACAACACAAATGCTAACAATGCAACCTTGGCTTGGACATTAGGAAAATCTTCCTGCCTTTCGGAGGTGAAACACTGGAATACATTGCCCAGGGGGGTTGTGGAATCTCCTTCCCTGGAGATATTTCAGAGCAGGTTGGACAGACACCTGCCAGGGAGGGTCTAGCTGGGCTTTGATCCTGCCATGAGGCCAGGGGACAGGACTCGATGCCCTCGCGAGGTCCCTTCCAGTGCTAGGATCTATGTGTTCCGTTGCTTCCCAGCACCGGCGCTGGAGCCTCTCGAGAGCGGTACCCGTGCCAGGGCGGGAGCTGAGCGTGGCAGGGGCGTTCTGGAGGTGCTTGCTCCGGTGGCTCTTCCAGCACGGGCCGTGAAGTGGCGCTGCTCAGAACCACTCCGGCTTTCCCTCTCTGCCTCGAAAGGCAACAGATTGCAAGTGGCACTTAGAACGTGGAAACTAGCTTGTGATTACCCGTTGGATAACATTTTAATTGTGCTCCTGGCACTCTGTCAAGCTAATTTGAGCTGCATTTCAATATTACTGCATTTATTTAGTGCCATAACAATATGGATTAATCTTAAATTATAACGCGGAGGAAATTGTATTACGCTTATTTCCTATTTGCCAAACATTTAAAGGGGCAGCAGCAGGTTAAAAAATCTCATTATTCGGAGGGAAAAGCAAAGCAAAGTCACGGGCCTGGGTCTGGGATAAGGCTTTAGATAACTGCAAGAGAAGGACTTGAAAAGATTATTTACGCTGCTTGTTGGTTCTCCTTGCCTTTGCGGCCTGCAGGGCGGAGTTCTCCAGCCCTTCCGTCCTAGTGGGGCTCGAAGGATCCCATGGCCAGGGGCCTCCTGCAGGTTCAGACTGTTCAGCCATTGTCCCTAGTCACCTCCCCTCTCCTCAGGCATTCCCTCCTCCCCCGCTTATCTCCAGACGGACGGACCCTCCCCTCAGCCACCTGGCCACGCTCTTGGCGCCCCGTGACCCCGCTCCCCGGCTCGCTAAGCCTCTCTTGGGTGCTTCTCTGAGCATCTTCCTACTAAGGGTCTGCCCGGCCCGAAGGCAGCGTCCCCGTGACGGCCATGGACAGCAAACCCTGCCCAGCTTTCACCCTGCCAGGGAGAGGCGGCGCTCTCTGTGGGCAGCGGGCAGACTCGGAAGCAGAGCGATGGCCGTCTCCACCCCCCGCCCACGCGCAGAGCCTCACCTCTGCCAGCCAGTGAGGGCGATTCCCTGGAGCCTGACGGCTGGGTGCTTGGACATGGCCTGCATCACCTTCAGCCAGCTGAGGTGGTTTTTCAGGTGGTAACTGAGTGGGGTCCAGGCCTGCGCGGGGCCCGTGGTGCCTTTGAAGGCGCTTGCGAACCACACCGTTCGGAAGCCGCTCTCCGCGTACTTCGAAACCAGCGTTTCTAGGAGAGACAGAGACCCCGCTCCGAGCTCAGCCACCAGCTGGGAAGCCTCTGCCAGCACCCACACTGCTCTTCCGCCAGGGGCCACCGGAGGGCGTCCCTGCAGGTGACGGCCCCGCCCAGCCCCACCAAGTCCCCCAAGTCCAAGCTGGCTCCGCTCGCTGGGCCGCAGGCACCAGTGCACGTACCAGCCCCAGCGTGGCAAACGCAATGACACGCCTCTTGGCTCGCCTTGCCCAGGCCGGCCCCGGGATGCTGGCGGGTGGCTCGGAGCTTTGTTAGGCTCCATCCCACGGGACCCAGACTCGCCACAGGTAAGATGCTCACAGCTGGCAGCCCCTGTGCAGGGCAGTGGAGGGTCTCCACCCCTCCCCCAGGCACTGGGTGTCCATGGCACAAAAGCCAACTGGGGCAAAGCAAGGCCGGACACACTGGCAACACGGCCCGGACTTCCACAGAGCCGCCCCCTGCTCACGCCAGGGCTCCGCTTGGCCTTTCCCCGGCAACGCAGCGAGCGAAGAAGCCGTCCCGGGTCTGCCCCTTACCGATCTGCTCCGTGTCCAGGTCCGGGGCGTAGAACCACAGCACCGGGGCGGCCTGCTTGGCTATGCCAGACTCTGCAGGATGGAAAGCACCCGGAGGAGGGAGAATGCAACGGGAACCCGCTCGTTCCCCACGCCCAGAGCCGGGGCCACTGGGACCTCTGGAGATGCGCAAGCAGCCCCCACTCTGGGTGTGGACCCAGGGTGCCAGAGTGGGGTGGGGGCTAGGCCCCCGCACTTGTAAAAGCAATGGGGGGAGGGAGAGAAGTGGGGGGTGGGGCCATGGTTCAGGTGGGCTCTCCCCCTTTGCGGAACCGCCCAGGAGACAGTGCCGTACTGAGACTAGACACATGCCAGGTTTGCCCCCCTTCCCGCATGCTCCCGGAGAGGAGCCCCAAGCCAGCTGACCTCGGATGGCTCCTACGCTGATCTTCCTCAGCATGTCGTCCCACAGCAGCACCTGCAGCCCCTGGTACTGGCTCGCGATGAAGTTCACAACCTCCTGGATGTGGTTCAGGTACATCTTCCCCACGTCCCCGCCACTGCGGCTCAGCCAGGTCTTGGAATCCAGCCCCTCCCCGAGGTGCA